CTCATTCATCTCTTCGTTACCGACTTTGGGTTTGGGAACTGAGTTTCTTTGACGGACCATGTACGGCGTGTTGTTTGGAGAGGGTGAGTCTCTGCCCTAAAAAATAAATTTGTTTTATTAAATTATGTTTTCATATAAGGTTGAATGCTCGAATAAATAAACTTTGATCAAAAAAAGGCAGATATCGAGCAAAGTTTATTAAGTAAATCTTGCTCAAGTACTTTCGCTTCCTAGAGCATCTTCAGGGGCTTCTGAAATAAGCCAAGAAACGCCTTTTTAACTGAAGAAATTTTTTATCGAAGACCCATTAGTTTCGCCATGTAGGAAATCATAGAATTCCTAGAGTTGTTATTTTGGAACAATTACAAAACGCACTGGACAACATACCACCCAATGAAAGAATAATCATTATGAGAGATATCAACGCAAGGGTAGGAAATATCTTTTTCGGTGGTGTTAAAGAAATTCTCAGTCTAGCCTATAGATGGCACTATTAGCAAAGCGTACTATTTCGTTATTTTGGTATACCTCCAGGAAACTGTGAATTTGATCAGACAAATCTTTTGTTTAACATAGTTTTAATGCTGTTCTATACTGCATAATTGTTCTGGGTCCTGGCTTGTTCTAAGATTTTTCGCCATTCCGTTCTGTTTCTTCCTTTGTTTTTTCAGTTGGTAATCTTAAGTGTTTTCAGATCTTGTTCCACTTGTTATATGTATCTAAAGTCTTCCCTTTGACCTTCTTCCTACTGGTGTTTGCCTCATTATATGTTTTGGTGTTTCCGTCTCCAACATCCGTTCAACTTGGCCCATCCAGCGCAGACAACCGATAGTTATGGATGTTATGATCTCGGGTTCATTGTATGCTGTGTAATTCAAAGTTATATCTTCTGCGCCATATGTCATTTTCCTTTACCCCCTTATATATGTGTCTAAGGATGTTTCGTTCAAATGTACCTAATAGGTTGTCATCGCTTTTCGACAGTGTCCATGTCTCTGATCCATATAAAAGGACCGATTTTATCAGGGTTTTTAACTTCTTCACTGACATTGTTATCTGTGGTAATTAGTGAACCTACATTTGTAAAATTTTTCACGCTTTCGATATTATAGTCTCCTATTGTCAGATTTTTTAGGTTCCTTTGGCCTGTCGATTTACTGGCCTTCGTATATTTGGTTTTAATTTCGTTAATGTTTAGGCCACTGTTTTGTGCCGCTCTTTCTATCGCTTTCAATGCTTCTATCACCTCGGCATAATAGTAGCAGTTATACTATAATGAGGACAGAAAGCAACACGAGTTGTTGAAGGTTATTATACCAAACTAGCTCATATTGTTTTAAACTAGCTCAAATGTGTTGAAAAAATTTGGCTTTTACTAGGACCAAAATATAAGACACCTTATTATTAATTATTCATAACAGCAGTCGGCTGGCAACACTGCTCAAAAGAGTCAAATACCGTCACCTGCTTCTTGGTGTATTAAGTTTTGTCGCCTTGCAATAAAATGGAAATTTTAATAAGTTTTTTTAATAGGAAAGGAGAGAAAATATCCTAATTATATATTGAAAAGACTGATATGTTTCTTGTACATTTATGACGAATAAAAGAATGGAAAAGAAAAGTATTTTTGAAGTGTGTAAAAATTGATAATTCCTAGCTTAACGCTTTCGGCTTACAAGTTTTACATGGCACCACTCAAAGAGAAGGTGGAAAAATCCACAGTTTTACTTTTTTTTTTTCATTTATAAAAGTTAAAAAACATGTTCGAAAAACACATAAAAGGCAGAACATTGGACTACACAAAAAAACACACTAAAAAATTTGTATCTGGTACGATTGTAAGAACCGCTGGGTGTTTCTTCAACTTCAACATAGTCGGTAGAAATTAAACATTTTTTCACACTTCAACAACACTTTTCTTTTGCATTCTTTTATTTCTAATTATATATTCTTTAAAACAAAGAAGGGGTTACCATTTTAATATCCTGGAACATTTATTATAAAGAAGATTTGTTCTTATAGCTAATAATCCACAACTTTATGATTGTGCTTGGGAGGACGGGCATGGCAGGGAAATGGTTTTTTGAACACTAAAAGAGTATGGGTTAGCTCCGTAGATCAAAAGTCCATTATTAATTGATGACTGATTTCATTAATATCTTACACATCTTCAAGGTCCTTTTGACGAAAGAGATAATTCTCTTGATGACTACAAAAGTTTTTTAAGTAAGCGTTTTAATTACTTCTAAATACTTAAGATAATAATAACCTATTTAAATATAACTCTCCAACACAAAAGATATGTGCACTATAACGAGTGTTAAAAGGACAATTTGTATAAAGAAATACAAATTAATGATTAATGATAGTATGCAATGAAATAACAAAAATCGAATTTGAGAATAAACTAAAGTTTCGGTTTATTTGATTCTCTTTAGTTTGACGTATGTCGAAAGATCTTCTTTAGGTACCGTCTCCTCTAAGGAGGTTGGTAATCATCACAGCTATTTTCACTTTTGAGATTGCAGCTCTGAACAAGTCGACGGAACTGCAATTATACCACTTTCTCAGATTGTTGAGCCAGGAGATGGGTCTTCTTCCAATACTTCGTTTTCCCTGTATTTTCCCTGCATTATGGTTTGTAGTAAACACATATTTATCCCCTCTTATAACGTGGCCGAGATATTGTAACTTTCTTATCTTAATCGTATTCTTCTTCTTCTTCAAATGCAAATCCACTAATGGATATTAGCGATCACATTTTCCATTAATTCTCTATTTCTTGCAATATGTATCAGATATTGTATGTCGTTAATCCCTGTCCATTGCCTTATGTTTCGGAGCCAGGACATTTTCTTGCGTCCCATTCCTCTCTTAGCTTCAATTTTACCCTCGATTATAAGTTGGAGGAACTGGTATTTTTCATTTCGCATGATGTGACCTAGATACGCCGTTTTCCTTTTCTTGATGGTTTCGAAAAGTTGGCGTTCTTGGTTTATTCTTTTAAGGACATCTATATTTTGTGATTTTCGCTGTCCATGGCATTTTTAGGATACAGCGATAAAGCCACATTTCGAAAGCTTCTAATCTGTTTATATCCCTCGTTTTGAGTGTCCAGCCCTCTACGCCATATAGCAGCACTGACCATACGTAGCACTTAGTAAACATTAGTCTCAGTTGAAGATCAAACTCTGAACAAGTCAGTACTTTCTTGAATTTTACGAAAGCTTGTCGAGCTTGCTCAATGCGACATTCTACTTCCCTGTCCGATGCCCAGTCTTCAAAAAGCCACGATCCCAGGTATTTAAATTTACTCACTCTTTCAATGGACTTAGTATTCAGTGTTATGGTGGAGTTTTTAAGTGCATCTAAGTTTCTGGAGATGATCATAAATTTGGTCTTTTTGGTATTAATCTCTAATCCCATTTGCTTACTGTATTCTCCGATTATAGTGACAAGTTGTTGAAGATCGACTATGTTGTCACAAATTAAGACACCATCATCAGCATACCGTATGTTGTTGATCAATACTCCATTCACCTTGATTCCCATCTCTACATCCTCCAAAGACTCTTGAAATATGGCTCCCAAATAAATGTTAAATAAAAGAGGGGAAAGCACACATCCCTGTAGAACGCCTCTTCTTATATGTATGGGTTTGGATATAGAATTGTCTATATCTGTGCCACTGTGCCTATTGTCTATATCGTTAACTGTGCCGTTTGATGCCAGTACAAGTTTTCAATGCATCTTATGTCTTTTTGGTCTATATCAACTTTCTTGAGAATCTGCATTAACTTGTGGTGTAGCATTTACTACATTATCTAAAAGTGTCTGTATGTCTGTAGATCTTGTATATTCTCTGCAATTAGTGTAGTATCATCGAAATATCTGATATTGTTGATGGGTCTGCCGTTGACTTTTATTCCAATTGTTACATTTTCGAGTGATTTTTTAAATATTTCTTCCGAATATAGATTGAAAAATAAGGGGGAGAGTATGCAACCTTGCCTTACGTCTCATTTCTGTCGAAAGATACAACTCAGTAAACTATATAAATATACAGCTACAGAAAAAATGTCATATCTTATGCAACTCGAAACAGTGAATGTGAGTCAAAACTAATCTAATGTTTCAACCACACGAATAGTTTCCTTCAATAATAAACAAAGGCTTTGTTCCACTATTTTTTATAACATGGCCAATGTGTGAAGTTTTTTTCTTTTTAATATCAAAAATAGACTGTCTTTATTGAGTATTTTCAAGAATCCTTTATCCACATCATCAGGCTCCAGAAAGTCCACATTTTAAAGACTTGTTTTTAACTGTCTAAACGAATGTTTACTTTTAGCGTCTGGGTTTCACAACCATACAAGTGAACTGAGTAAACATAGCAGTCACCAAAACTTAAGCGTACATTAATATTGAATGACTGCAATGGATTATTTCTCTTCTACCAACCATTATCTTGGTCCCAATGGATATCCCTCCTGAATTACCTGATTTAGTTCCTGCTTATTTCTTTGTATAATTGTTTTGCTTTCTTTGTGTTATTGTTCCTTCCTGCTTACTTGTATATTGTGATACTCAATTCGAAGGGAAGAAATCAGCAGATTCTAAACTTAATGTACAAATGCAGACACCTTTTCTGATAGCCTTATATGTTCTATAGAGGTCATCGTATCTGCAGAAAGCAACACTTCGTTATCAATAAATATTTTTTAATTATATTATTGTCACAACCATTCAAAGCTACTCCAAATCTATATAGTGGCGTAGGATTTTTTTAATAAAAAAATCACTAACAAAAATTCCACATTTTCGATTAAAAAAATTATCGTAGTATACCCTGAAAACAAATTTTAAACTTCAATGAACTTCAAATTTAATAGAAGTGTTTCCAATCTAAATGGGAATGATATCGATTAGGTGAAGACAAAATGAACAATAGACATGAAAAGTGCAAGAATTAATCAGTTCTGAGATGTAAAAAATGTTAGTTAAAAATCAAGGTTTAGACCACTTCGTTCATGCATAAACCAGAAACATTTGAAGTGCTCCACATCACCCTTTACATCTTTACATACCGAATTGGTTTTTGGTGGATAGCTGCTTAACTGTGGGCAGCTATGGATATAATAGCTGCCTCTAGAATTTACTGTAATGTAAATAATATTAAATTTAGATTATATTTATAAATTCCCCAATTGTGTCAATTTATGAAAAAAAAAATAACACAAAATGTGTGATTATAATCACAATATATTTAATGGTATTGACATATTTGTAAAAATAAGAAAATAAAATGATTTTTTTTATTTTAAATCCTTTATAAGAGTTATATAATAAAATAACCAAATGGGCTATATCGCAATTACATTAAAGAACGTTTTCGGAATGACAATTCCATCACCAGTGTAACCTGACAGTATATACCCACATTAATTAAAAAGAACGTACAATTTAAAATGTTGACTAATGTTAATGCAAAATGTAGTTAATACTTACGAAGTATACATGCTATGAGCCACTAAAATATATGGGTAAAAACCCGTTAAATGCTGTAAATCTTTAGTAAATTTAACAGTGCCACCTAAAACCCAACTAACCTTGCAGTTTTTACATATCTTTACAATACACACCAAAAGCCTATTAACTTCAAGCATTACATGAACATTACATTACAAAAACATTTTTATCATATTTAAGGCTGTTTTAGCAGTCAAAGTACACTGCGATTTAAAATGGGCATATCACTTACTTTTCTACACAGCTTACGCCAGCCGACGACCTATACAGCTGTTTTACTCAGTGGCGCCGGACGACAAGCAGTTTAATGACAACAAATGCATTATTCTCCATTAACATTAGTTTGGTCGGGAATACCTTTTTTGATTGATTATCGTAGACGTTTTAAAAAGAATTATCATTTTTAATTTATATGTCTTAGCTAAATATAGTATTGAATAAAAATTTGTGAAACGTGACTGCAAAAAACATCATGGTGTTTATTTATAATTTAAAATACCGCATAATCCGATATCTCAAAAAACTTTCAAAAAAATTAAAAAAGTAAAACCATCAGTTTAAAGGCAACATAATTTTGAATAACGTGTCCAAATTTCGAGACATTTTGTCGGTAAATAACAGAGAAAACACTGTCTCTAGGTTTTGGTGTACCGATAAAACAGCCTTAAATTTCATCTTAACAGCACATTTAAACATATCATTTACTATATCACTACTCAACAATAAATTTTATTGAACCCATCTTCCTACATATGTCTTTTTTACCATTTTCTAGGTACCAAATGTTTCATAACATACAGGGCCTTTTGTTAAAATCTTTAGTTAACAACAAATAAATTTAGACACATTATAGTTGGTTGCCTATTGATACCTACAAAATTTCACGTACTTCAGTCTACATACATTAATTTGTAGCATTTTCAATTTCATTGATTCTTTGAAGTATATTGAAGTCCCCTCGTATACGAAATATTAAAATCCCCTTATATATTTTTAATAGATCTAAAAATATTTCGTACATATTTAAACCCAAATATCTTGTCATTTCTTTCTTAGGTCGGCCAAGTTGAAATAAACCATTTTAGAGTTGTTTATTTATTTTAACTTCCTCGGCAAATTCTTGTTTTATTAAAAGCCGCAATTTTAATGCGTCGCAAAAGGACATGTACGTCGTTTCGTGGTGTCTTGTTTATGTCAGCGTTTTGTCTGTATGCCTTCAATTTTAATAGCTTCACTCTCGTTGTAGCAGCTTTGAATAGCGGTTCAACGTTATGTCCAAATTCACGTCGAATTTGTAAAGTGTTCTGTTTTCATATTTTATTATGAAGAATATGTAGCAGTTGTTATTGGTTTTGTAGCAGTAAATGCTTCAATTATTAATGTTTTGAGTGAGGATTGGAGGACATCCTCGTTTTTTTTTTGTTCCTGTTTCTATCCAAGGCTTTTGGCAGTTTGAAGATGGAGGTTTTCGTGATCCAGAGAGAGTGGAGCCTTCAGTTCCAGGTTCCAGTTATGCTTTCAGAAACTTAAGTGTGATCATGTGAATTAAGGTAACATTTTGTTTTAAATTTTAAACTAAAGACAGACAGTTTTTTTTATGAAGTAATAATTGCTTTCGTTGACATTTTAAAATTGTAAATTTTTGGTTTTGAGTAAAGCTGTCAATTTGGGTTTGTGTTTTTTTTTTTGAAATTTAATGTTAATTTATGACAGCTCGTTTTAGTATTTTTGATGTTGATTTGTTTTGTTTTTTTTTTACAAAGGTTAACCTCCATGCAATTTTTGTAAGTTTTTGTAGCAATGGAGTTTGTTAATGGATGACACATGTAAGTTTTTGAATTTTGTATTTTTCCATGTAACTGTTTGTGGTGACACATAAATAAAAGTTAAATTTTATTTTCTTAACTTTTTATTTATTTTTTTTTGAGCCAAACCTTTTTTGATTCTTATTTGAAAAAGATATGTTTTGATTTTGTTTTCTAATTATTTCCCTAGTTAAAACTAGTGGTTGTAATAGGCTTAATTAGGCACCTCAAGTGGCGCCCTATATTAAATTCCTTGAGGTGTTTCTTGTTTATTTTTATTTTGTTTATCCCAAGAGCCCTTTATTTAATTTTTTTTGTAGTTCCCCCTACCAATGCCCTTATCTTTTACTTATCCACGACCCCAGCTCTCCTACGAAACCCTAAGTGCCGTTCGCATAAGTAGCGATTATTTTGCTTGCCTTATCTCCACCCCCTTAATTTCTTCCCCCAATTTTCTACCCCTTATATTAATGCCCCTGTGGTAGGCAAAATATTTTCGTTACAAATTTATAAAACAATTTTTCAATGTCCTCAACATAAATAAAGGACAAATTCACATTGCAGACCACAACATTGATGGTTGATACTGTTATGTTATTATAATTTTAACTTATTCAATTTTAGATAATGCTGGCTTCTGTCATATTTAGGCAACTACCGTAAGTTGCACTGACTGCTTTGTTCCGACATCCGTCCTAACATGTCAATATTGTCATTTTTATCAGTTGTTATCAGCAGGTCCTCGAAGACACTTTGTCTCAGGACCATGTAACCTATGTAGAGTCATACGTCGCCATGTTACCAATTACAACGGTAACTTGAACATCTTAATTTGTAATAATCTATAATGTAACAAAACTTTAAATTAACAACATTCAACGGGTTTTTATCCATATATGTTAGTGGCTCATAGCATGTATACTTCGTAAGTATTAACCACATTTTGCATTAACCTTAGTCAACATTTTAAATTTTACGTTCTTTTTAATTAAAGTTTATATACTTTCAGGTTACACTGATGATGGAATTGTTATTCCAAAAACGTTCTGCTGTAATGTAATTGTGATATGGCCCGTTTGGATGTTTTATTATATACCTTTTATAAAGGATTTAAAATAAAAAAAATTTTGTGATACATGGTATACAGCCAGTTACAGGAACTTAGTTTCCTAGTGGAGAATAAAAGACAATACCTGTTTTGAAGGTCCACAGCAGGTATTCCTGACGCAATTGTCATTAAGGTTGTCACCCTTCGGACAGTCTAACACACAATCTTCGGTCATAGGTTCCTGTACCCTCGAAGTGGTGGGTATATCCGTGTAGTCTATGAATTCCGGTTGGATCGTTGTCGAATGAATCCCTTCATTGTGGAAGAATTCTTTCACCTTTTCTGCGATTTTCATGTACTCAGAAAGATTTCTACACCTGAAATACACGAAATAAATAGTATTGGTGAGATGTAAAAAAGAAAAGCCGAATCACCAACCTGATATGAGCTGAAGCAATGATTCTATCGCCGGCCAGCTGCCAGACGTGGAATTCGTGGACTGCCAGAACGCCGTCTACTTTCGACAACAGTCTGTTTTGGATAGCGTCGACTTGAATGTGAGTCGGAACCGTTTGAAGCAAAATAAGTGCCGAGTCTCTTAATAGCGGCCATACCGAATTCAAGATTAATAAAACTAAAAGAATACTGAGAGCTGGATCAATGTAATATTTATATTTCCAGTCGGTTAACCAAAATACCTGAAAGTAAAAGAATAAATGTAAATAAAAAATATAACGTCTGTTCTACTAATTCAGGTCTGTCCAAAGCGAAAAATGCGGGCCGAATGCGGCCCGCGAATCCGAGATATATGCAAATCTACATTATAAAAAAAAAATAAACACAGTCTGCAGAAAAATATCACTGGGTAAATAATTTTAACTTTAACTGGCAACGCTGTATGTAAACAGTCCCTTTGCTCCGACGCATCGCTTTTCCGTCATTGATATATTGTATTATCAACGATTTGTAGATGTGATTAGTCTTTTTGAGGGGTAAAATGACCAGCAATAAGGTCAAACTGCTCATTTTAATTAATTTAATAATAATAAAAAAAAAAAAAAATAGCGGACAAACACCAAGCGTATAATGACCAATGGGAAACCGACTATTTGATCACAAACAATAATAATGAACTACAGTGCCTTTTGTGTATGCAAGTTCTATCAGCTCCCAAAGAACATAATTTCCATGAGAAAAAGATTTTCAATACACTGGAGATATAAGAAAAATCTGAAACAAACAATTTTTTTTCAAAAAGTCAAATAGTGATAAAATCTGTGGTCTTCTGGCTTCTTGTGAGTTAGCTATGGAAATTGCCAAAGCAAAAAACCATTTAAGTACTTATATATAAGTATAATATTTATAAAGAATTCAATGCAATCAAAATGGCAGATATGGTATGATAATACCATATCATAATATGATGAACGAGACACTAAATCCGGATGAAGAAATTAAAACTCACATATAAATTGCAAGAGGAGCATTTATGAAACTTAGATCTATTCTGAGCAATGCTCAGCTGAACTTACAGCTGACAATTAAGTTCCTAAAAAGTTATGTGTATCCTGTATTACTGTATGGATGTGAAACCTAGATTATGAAGGTTAATATGATGAACAAATCAGAAGCCTTCGAGATGTGGTTATATCGTAGAGAATGCTCAGAATATCATGGGTTCAACACATTTCAAACAGAGAAGTCTTCAACAGAGTAGGTCAAGGTGAAGGTGACTTAATAAAGATGATAAAAAAGGAGAGAGGAGCAGATACAGGATAATGCAGTTGAGACTCAACGGAAAGAGAGGAGCAGATACAGGATAATGCAGTTGAGACTCAACGGAAAGATCGACGGAAGAAGAGGTATAATTAAACTTAAAACTTCAAGGAAAACAAAATAGTGCCAACTTGTCATATAAAAGGATATTAAGCTCTTTGGGTATATAGAATTTTGAAGAAATGAAGGACTTTTTTACAGGGAAGACCTGAAAGAGGATTGGACTTTTTCAAATTACTAACGTAGACAAATTATTCCAATCCATGCATGGAAGCCTGTGCCATTGTGAAAGCAGTTTTCAAACATGAAATTTATATAAATCCAAATACAGATGTTCGCTCTCTGAATCACTTTCTCAGTTGCAAACCAAATAGATAAGAATAAGTAATGGTTTTTCAAAGATATATATATATATAATATATATATATATATATATATAAATATATATATAGATATATATATATATATATATATATAATATATATATATATATATATATATATAAATATATATCTCTTCAATCCTGACCCCCCAGGGGGAGTGTAGTGGTCGACGTGATGTCGTGTATGGTCCGTCTCCAGAGATCTCTGTCTCTGGTCATTTCTTTTAATTCATGCATAGGTCTTTGCATATTCCTGTAATTTGATCTATCCATCTTGTTGGGGATCTTCCTCGTGATCTTCGGCCTTCTACCTTTCCTTGTATTATGAGTCTTTCCATGTTTTCTGTGTTTGCTCTCATAACATGCCCAAAATATTTTAATTGTTGGAGATGGACTGTACTAGAGAGTCGTTGGCTAACTTTTAGCTCTCTTAAAATTGAATTATTTGTTCTGCGGTCGGTCCAAGGAATTCGTAACATTCGTCGCCAACAGAACATTTCAGTGGCGTCTATCTTTCTTCTCCCTCCGATTGTCTCAGAGTCCAAGATTCACATTAGTAGGTCAGTATTGGGAATATTAAGCAGTTGATCAACCTCATCTTTATCGCTCTTGAAATTTGACAGTCCTTCCATATTTTGGTCATTTTTGCTGTGGCAACTTTTGCTAGATCAGATCTACGTTTAATCTCTTCTTGTAATGACCCTGTGTTTGTGATTAATGATCCCAGATATAAGTATGAGCTCACAACCTCGAACCGGTCAATTGTGGTTATGTGTGGATGATTGTTGTGTAGTCTATCCACTATCATGATCTTTGTCTTTGATATGTTTAATTGCAGACCAAATATTTGACTTTCGTTTTCGATCAGTCGTATAAGTTCTATCAGCTCTGCTTGACTATTTGCAAGAAGGGCTGTGTCATCTGCGAAACGTAGGTTGGTTTAGTTTATGACCATTTATTGAGATTGCCCTTTTCCCATGCTTCAAGTGCTCTTCGCATAATATACTCCCCATATATGTTGAATAATTGTGGAGATAGTATACATCCTTGTCTGACACCCCGTTCTGGATGAAATTCGTTCGAAAGTGTGTCAAGTACTTTAACTGATCCAGTAGTGTGTTCATATAGTTCGGTTATAAGCGTAATTAGAGTGTTGGGGTACACCTACTTCTTTTAGTATTCGCCATAAGGTGTCTCTCCACTTGACCCTGTCGAACGCTTTACGGTAATCTATAAAAACAGATGTATAGTGGAATGTTAAATTCCCTAGATTTCTCGATTATCTGTCTTATATTCAGCAGGTATTCTCGAGTGCCTGTACCTTTGGTAAATCCAGTTTGCTCTTGTGGAATTTCTCTTTGAAGGAATGTTTTCAGTCTCTCATTGATTATATGTAGCATTATCTTGCTGGCATGGGATATAAGAGAGATAGTTCTATAATTGTCGCATTTATGGAATGCTGCCTTTTTTATGTATGGTCGTTAATTGTAGATTTTGTCCAGTCTTCAGGCCATTGTTTGGAATGCCATATTTGGTTACAGAGTAGATGAATAACTAACTTTAACCGCCGGTTTTCTTCTGTGGCTTTAAGCATTTCTGCTGTTATCATATCTGGACCTGGTGCTTTGTTATATTTGAGCTTGTTGATAAGCCTGTCTTACTTCATTTGGAGTATATCAGGTTCCTTCTTCCACCTCGTCAGAGATTTGGCTAACAAGCTCTTGGCGTTGATCATCTTTATATAGGTCCCTGCAATAACGATCATTCCATGTCTCTGCTATGTCTTCTCTGTTTGTTCTCACAGGTTCCAGTGTTATCTTCAATGGCCCAAGTTCTGGCTCTGAAGTCTCTTGTCAGGTAGAGTATTTTTCTAAATAGATCTCTCGGCTGATTAATTCTGACCATGTCTCTCAATTTCTTTGCATATACTTTGATAGTACTGTTTTTTGTCGGCCTTACATCTTCGTTTTATTTCTTTATTGAGGTTTCCTAAACTAGCTTTTTTCCCTTTCACTATGTACACCACTTTTACAAAGATTTCTTCTATTCTCAATTATTTTAAGAGTGTCATCTGTTATCCAGTGTTTCCGTTTCAACCGAATATATTTTTCTTTGAGCGATCCACTGGTGTTGTTACGCAATGTTTAAACAGTCTCCCATATATAATATAATATATATATATATATATAATATATATTATATATATATATATATATATATATATATATATAATATATATATATAATAATATATATTTAATATAAAATTAATGTTCTTGGGTTTAGTTCAATAAAGATATTACATGTGGAACTAGATTTTATTTTCCATTGCAATCAATCAACGTTTCGGCAGGAAACCCTTGCCTTTGTCAAGATTCTAAAAATGTGTAAATGGTTTCCTGCCGAAACGTTGATTGATTGCAATGGAAAATAAAATCTAGTTCCACATGTAATATCTTTATTGAACCTAAACCCAAGAAACATTAATTTTATATTAAATATAATACGGTTCAGAACCTCAAAAACTACTATATATAATATATATATATAATATATATATATATATATATATATATATATATCGATATTATAAACAATATTCGGTTTTTTATTAAACATGTCAAAGGCACAGGTATAGAAATTCTTTGAATACAAAATAAAAATCTTTTGTACACAGAATTTTGAAAGTAAGGAGAAAGCTTTTAGTAAAAGATGAGGATAGATAATAATCTTGATGTTTAGTTGTATTGTTATATCGAGACTTGTAACCATAAAAAAATGAATTATTTATGAAATTGGAAATACCAAATGATATAAGGTCATGACGACAGCGAGTTTGTTTGCTGAGAGAGTATGGAACGTGATTGGTTGGAATTTAAGGTGTATGATGCTACAATCTGATTGGTAGATTCGAAAGGTAGAGGGAAATGACGTCAAGCCGATTTTAGGATGACGGAGGAGATTTTACGGTGTTCTGAAGTTCTGAAGAAGCTGTTTGTTTTGTTGCTCCATAGCATGCACTAAAAGTGAGCAGAGTTGATTGTAAATAAAAATTGTGTATAGTGTTTGATGTGTCTGTAAAAAAAGTCAAGGTGAGTAGTAGCAGTTTAAAGCGGAATTTACATCCTGTAGTAAGGAAAACAGGTGTAGCATATATGTATTCCATTCCTCACAATCCAAACCATTGCCTTTCATTTATACGTACAAAATGTCAAAAATGTATACTTACTAACGCAGATACTATCACAATAACCGAACCGAGAGCATCAGACAAAACGTGCAAAAAAACTCCGCGCATGTTCATCTGACCAGATGAATGACTGTGGGTCAGCTCTTTCTCGCCTAATTGGGTCGTCGGTGGAGGAGGACTAGGAAACGTTTCGTCGTTTTCGTTGTCGTCCGTTATCGCTAGTTGGGTTAGTCTATTTCTACTATGCGACAGTCTTCCGTGTGAATGACCATGGGAACTACCATGTTCTGAAAGTTCATAAAAACTTATAAATTTACTATTATACTATTATATATAACTATGAAACTAAACTATCAACTAAAAACTGCTAAAAAATAATTTGCATTTTATAAATTATAATAAAAATTGTTTACAATAATTGAGTACACAGAATATCCATTAGTCAGAAACCAGACAATCTTGTAATCAACAAGAGATATAGACTCAACATAACATTAATTCTGCAAAAGCTTCAATGATAAACGACCACCTTTAGTCTCATGAAAATGGTAAATTGTATTTCTAATGAACTGTTTGTCGAAGGACCGATTATAAAACAAATAATTCGATTTTAAAGGAGCTAAAAATCAGTAAAAGACTTTCCAACAATGCTTAACTAGAACAATTAAAATATTTTCGACATTTATCAGGTCGACGAAAACTCCAGATATTATTTTCAGAACGGCCAACACAATGGAATTTATATTAACCATAAAGATTGTATTTTAATAGAACTGATAATACTCAAAGAGACCTACAATAAAACTATGATAATTAATTTTTTATATAATACAAAGCTAAAAAAAATTCAGCAGGAACCTTAAATTTATTTTTATTATTTTTTCCACTGGCCAAATCGATACAGTCATACAAAAATTTTCACAAAAGTGAAATTAATTCTAGATGAAAGCTATGTATGTATTGATGAAGATTGATTGACTAATGTAAGAAGCTCTGAAAATTCTTGCATCAGTTTTCACCATTATAGCTTTTATCTTACAGTGTAATCAAGAATTAGATCCATACTCATAATCACTCATCGGTACGTTCATTTGGAATGTAAATGATGACTGGTTAATTGCTTCGATGCGATTTTCACGCATCCATTATTCACCTATTAACTTTTCAAATTTCCCAAAATTCTTTCTCAAAAAGGAGTAGCAGTATGCAATGCTTCTTGGTCTGTTTCTCCTAGCTCTTGCATGTGTTAGTTTTTTGTCTCTTGAATAATTATTTCTAGTCCAGTCTTTTCTGCCCCTGTTTTTATTTGTGTTCTGCCTCTTCTATGCTGCGAGAAATAATGCTAATGTCATCGGCATAGGCGGCAATCTGTATTGATTTATTTTTTAGCCAAATAATTAGGAGAGTTGAGTTGATAATTTAGAGTTAGTAACTTAATGTCGAGATGTGGATCTCGTTACTACTTTAACTAAGTACTATTTAATTTATTAACAGTTCCTTAATAAAGATGTTAGTACAGAAGAAGGCGATCCGATCCCATAGGCGAATTATTCGGCGATATATCCCATGTTGGTGCGTAGCAAGAGTTTAATTTATTTATTATAACAAACAGACTCTTTCCAATCACAAGTACTACTATGACAAACGCATTAGTGTATTATTAATTTGCAACCAGTTTGAGAGTATCACTAATTTAAGGTATCAGTTTCTCCGAATGGTAAAAAACCCAAGTATCCAATATCCAATATTAACACTTTTGTTAATCTCTTAGAGCTCACTAATTATAATCACATTATCGTAAAACGAACGTACTAACATAAGAAAAGTAACTTACCATGAAATAGTAACAGTCCGATTAAGTTAACTAAGAGACCAATTCCTCCGACGACTACTAACAACTGAGGATCGTGAATATACTCTATTTCGATAAACCTCTTGCAGGCTTCTACGGTTATAGAAAAACATAAAGCTACTAAAATACGGCGTTGACCAAGGCGCCCAATACTTCAGCTCTCGCCCAACCGAACGTATTCTTCGACCATTTCTTTGGTGACATCTAAAAGAAGAAAATTCAAATTGCTAACGTTATGCATTATAAAATTCAGATTAAATATTATTTTATACGGGATTTTTTTGCTCTGTAATGAGAATTACATTTTACATTTGTTTTGACTTTCTCCAAAATTCAAAATAAAATTATGAATGATCTTAACCTGTAAATGTTTATAATTATCGGTGGGTGGTAACACCAATTTGACAGTTGACTCACTTGGCCTTGATCTTATAGCTAGGATGCACTACAAAAGAAAAAATGGTAGAAGTACCAAATTCGGACTCCGGCCCAAAGCGGACTCTCAGCCTTTCGGATTCTCCAATGTACTGCACTCTGTTGGGAATACCACTAAACATTAGCTTATGCTTTCGCCGCTATGTATTGGAGCGCTTGCATCACTTGGTCAAACTGTCAAACAATGAGATGACAACAAATGTTTTGAGCGCCAACAACAATTAAGACTTAGGACAACAATTAGGACTTAAAGAACAATTAAGAAAAAGCCTACTTTTTTATTGTTATTGACAAGATACTGGAAGGTAAGATTTATAAATCTGATAGTATGGTTGCTCAAATCGGACGCCATGCTTGTTCCTAAATCGCACCTGTAGTAATACCAGTTTCAATCGCATATAACGTATTCTTTTGGTTTTCTGTTTCAAAATGCCTAAGCTAAAGCCAAAGCAGAAAATCCATCAAAAGGGAGTCCATCAAAAATAAAGAAGCTATAAATGCTACTAGAAGTAAAAAGATGGGTTGGAAAAAAGCAAGTAAGCAGTACAATGTACCGGAAACTACGCTAATGAGATTATTTAACATGAAATACGGCAGAGACAGCAGGAAAAGGGCAGATCTACAGTTTTAAAAAATAGCCTTGAGAATGAGCTTGTCAATTATTGTCTTGCCATGGAGACTTCGTTTTTTTTCGCTTACTCGTAGTAACCTGAGGAGAATGACTGTTTAGTTGGACAGTCAGAACAGCATCGCATCGTTTAAACTAAATCGCAGAAAGGAAATGAATTCGACTTTTTTAAAACGTCATCAAGCCAAATTGTCAGAAAGAAAACCGTTTGGTACATCTTACAGCAGAGCCCTTGGTTTCAGCATAGAAAATTCAGAGAAGTTCTAAAACCTTTTAGAGGATGTTTATGATGAAGGAAAGTTTACCCCAGACAAAATTTATAATGTGGACGAAAGCGGAATCACTGTGGTACAATCAAAAGTTGCGAAAGTAATCAGCATGAAGGAAAAAACAAATAGGTGCTTTGATTTCAGGAGAAAGAGAAGCTCTTGTAACTATTGTCTGCTGTATGAATGCTCCTGGTTCTTTTGTACCTCCTCTAGTAAGTTTCCGCGCAAAAATATGACTGAGCAATTGAAGAAAGGTGCACCGTAGGGGACGATATTTGAGGTGCATATTTCTGGTTGGATTTAATTTACCCAATTTAAATCTTTTCACCCAATGGTTTCAAAATTTCATAGACTGTTGTCGTCCTACAGAGGAAAAGCTAGCATTACTTATTTTGGTCATACACAGAACATTGACGTCATTGATCTAGGTAGAGCAAACCATGTTACCATAGTGTTACTGCCTCCCATTGTTAACATAAATTTCAGCCTTTGGATATGACGTTCATGAGTCCTTTGAAAATCTACTACAGCGAAGAAGAAGAAGAACTGACTGCACTTAGGATATAATGGACATAATTAAGAGAGCCTATGCCAAATGCCCAAACCAGAAAACTGGAATACCTAGGCCACAGATACTAATAACGGAGACTAGAGTTCTCCTATCTCGGAAAAGAAAATCTAGTCAGATATATAAAGGCCAATAGACTCAGATGGACAGACATGTGATATGCAGTAACGACAATCGCCTTATAAACAATGTGTTTCTGGAAAGGCCAGATGGAAGGAGGTCTGTAGGGAGGCCTAGCAAAAGGTGGAAAGATGCAGTCGAAGAAAAACTAGACAAAATGGGAGCGCGACAATGGGAATTATTGGCACAGGACCGACAAAACATGGAAGGCAATAGTAAACGCGGCAAAGACTCACGAAGAGTTGTAGCGACATTGATGATGATGATGATGAGGGGACCAAAATATGAAATTTTGAGACTCATAACACAGGAAAAAATTCAAGGACGAAGATCTGTTGGCCGAAGGCAGAACTCATGGTTTAAAGAATCTACGTGATTGGTATCAATGCATATCGATTGATTTGTTTTAGAGTAGCAAGTTCTAAAATAAAAATAGCCATTATGATTGCCAACCTCCGTAGGAGACGCACTCTAAGAAGAAGATGCCAAATGCCAAACAGTTCAAATTGCTATCAATGGATTTAAGGTAACGAGGATATAGCCCCTTAACAGCCCTTTGTTCTCAGATGCAGAATATACTGAAGAGGCGAACAAAAAACTACCATCTTCTTTGTATGAAACTGGTGATAGACAACCATTGACATCAGGCGAGCCATCGACATCTTCTGCAGCACAGACAGGCGAATCGTCAACATCTTTAGGGTTGACGCCTCACCATGTTGCGCATCACCAGAAATTAGCTCCTCGAACGAAACAAGTCCATTCGACATATGCCCTGTCCAGAAAATTGACGAATGACGAAAAAGCTTGTCAGTCTCCAGTCATTACTGCTTCGCCTCACAAGGCACCAATTGAAATCCAAAGATGTAGATAAGATAATGAAGTTCGGCGTGGTTAAGGTCAAGACAGATGTGGTCAGTCAAAGGGCAGGTGGGTCGCGATTCCGCAACAGGCATCTATTCGGAAAAAAGAAAGCAACTAGTAAAAAGGAAACTTGATTTCAAGAAAGAAGACGATTATCTATCTAGTAGTAGTGAAGAAAACGCGAAAATTTCCAGCGGACAGTCGGATGTGATTGAAGTAATTCCAAGAATTGTAGAATTTAATGATAATGACGCGGAATGCATCTTTTGCCTCGGCAAATTTTCCAATGTTACGAGAGGAGAATTGTAAGTAATGTGCATCATGTGCAGTTTGTTGGACTGACACTACCGCACAGGGACACAGGGACTGAAAATAATATATACATCTGTGACTTTTGTAGGTAGACGAATAATTTTCAAAATTTTAGTTAATTGTGTTCTTTCATTTCTTTGTTTCTGTTGAATTTGGTTCAATTAAAATAATATTTCTAACTTTGATTGTATTGTATTCCTCTGTATCATCGTTGTGACTCAATTTCATTGATAATTTTTCGACTGTTCTAACAACCATTCAAATTTCGTCATTTTGTGTCATGTGGAACAATTTCACCCAATCATGTCAACATTAGACTGATAATTGCATTCAGTGCAATTTTCAATCCCTATGACAACACGATCGAGTTTGACAACTTCATCCAAATAAATTTCAAAATGTCACGTTTGAATCTAATGTTAACTTAAATTTTAATAATTGTACTTTCACTAACTGTACTTTTAATAAATAAATGTTTCGTTATGTTGAGTTATGATTTTTTTTTTCGAAAAATTATCCGCCGAATATCCCTCGGACATTGATGAATGCCTCATAATTTCATGACAAATTTCTCAAGCTCGTTGCTTTCGAGCAACGATTCGAGGAACGAGCTTTCGATTGTCATGAAAATTATCTCGTCTGTTATCAATGTCTTAGGGATATTACTACTGATAATTAGAATAGTTTTATAGGAGGTCCGAATTAGCGAAAAAGTGTAGTAAACTTTTTTTGAAATTTTTAAATGGAAATGTCAATAAAGCATGAATTTCAGAGTCTACCTATTTTTAAAAATATGAAAAACAAAGTGGGGGTCCACTTTTAGTCCTCTAACAAGTGCTATACAAGTGTGGTTCCACGATGATGATGCAAAGAACATGTGCACTAAACTAGTGGTGTCAATAATGCCAAGACATGTTGGAGACGTTATTTCTCCTAAAGAAAAACATACTGCGTAGTAATATAATAAATTTTTAGTCTACTTATGGTAGACTTCTATTATAATGATATGTAACTAACATTGCATAGTATTATTTTTCTTTTATGTACAAAATAGGCATCGTAAAAAACTTACCTTAACGGATAAAAAAGCTACAACTAATGCTGCGACGTCGCTCAACATATGAAAACTATCTGCCACTAAGGCCATTGAATTTGTTATATAACCTACGACTATTTCTACGAAGAAGAAAAACGTCGTAAGCCATAACATCGACAGCAAGCGACATTTTTTCCCAGAGAATTTTCCCATATCAGCTGAAACAAAAAAGTGTTTGTTAGATTACAAATATTTACAAGAATTATATTTTTAGTACTATACCCATTTCACCGACGATACCTAAATATTTAAGAATTACCTAAGCGGGCTTAGGTACTTCCTAACTCTAAAACGGATTTCACCATACGCTAAGAATTGCCTAAACCGCTTAAGCATTACTTAATGGTAGGATACATTTTGCGATCTTCCTAAACAGTTTAGGTATTACTTATAGTTAAAAGTGAGGTTATGTTTTAACAGTTTTGACGGATGTACTTGTGAAATTTGTCAATAATTTGCTTCTTACCGTAATTTGTGTGTTGTTACTCTATAGTTAGTTATTTTTGTATTATTTTATATTAATTAATTGTTGCTTTGGTACTATTTATAATATGGAAGCTCTACAGTTTATCGACTATCTAGATCGATTCCATTCCTGATCTGATTCTGAAGAAGAAACAGAAAGAAGACCTCGAGTTATCAAGAATCGAAGAAATTATTTTGAAACTTTGGACGATGTGGATTTTTTTAGAAGGTTTCGAATGTCTAAACCAACAGTTTTATATGTGTTGGAACAAATAGAAAATGATATTCTACCTAACAAACTGGTATTTTCTTTCAAAAACCCATTCATGATTTCATTAAAATTGTATTATTAAAAATATAAAATAAAAAACAATTTTCAAGATATGTTTTATTTTAAAATTATTTCAATAATGACAATAGAGCTGGTGGCACTTCTTCATTATCTGAAATTAAAATTAGATAAAAAATGTATTATACTGTATAATATAACATTGTAATTAACTCATTTTTAATTTTATTTAATATGCTCTCCGCCTATTTAATATGAAATTTACAGCCTTTTCTTTTCCTCCATTTCACTAGACGTATATAAATAATTTACAAAACTAAACAAACCTTATTTACAAATAACTAACTTCTAATTAAAATAACAGAACTATAACACGACAAAACTGAATAAAACCAACTTGGAAAACAAACAATTCAATAACAAATAAAAAAGTAAGGTTATGACTTCTTATTCTTCTTTTTATTTATCAATAATAGTTCAAACGTACCCAAAGTAATACCTAAGAAAGGATTTCCTAGATAATTGTTCTTTTAGTTGTGAAACGCTAGTGTTCCTAAGTATTGACTTAGGAAGTTCTTTTCGATAGGAATTACTTTTGAAGGCAAGTGTTTAGGCATCGTTGGTGAAATCGGGCATGTTGCATGAACTATTTATAGCATGTTTGATCTCGCAATTACCTAAGAAATTCTTAAAACTATTGTTTTCAGGAGTTCTTTACAAGACCTTTCTACAACTGTGACCGGTGAATAGATATCAAAAAGAATAGTTGTTGTATTTCTTCAGCAACACCGATAATTCCGCACCATATCATTAACTGGAACTTATTTATGTGTTCTTGCTTCAATGTCCAGCTTTCAAGTCCATATTGCAGTATCGAAAACACGTAGCATCTCAGTGCTTCTTACTCTCAGTTCTAATCTAAGGTCTTTGTTGCAGAGAATTGTTTTCATTTTTAAAAGCGCACTTCTTGCTATTTCTATCATGGCTCTATTTCAGTTGTTTGATCATTATTTTTTTTTTTTTTATTAGAAAAAGATGTCGCATCCACCAAAAGATTATTAGCGACGGAACAAAATATAAAAAACAAAGTTAAACATCTACAGATTGTACAAAATGTTTATGGATCTAAGATTATTCACTATATTGTTACAGAAACAGTTTTGACCTAGAGCCTTTAGTAGAACGTTTGGGATCCTGTAGCGCTGTCTTTCTTGGTCATATTTACTACAAATTGTTAAAAAATGTTCGACTGTTAATCGGACGTTACACTGATCACATATAGGTAGATTTTTCTTTGTAAAAAGGTAGGAGTACGTTAATCTGGTATGTCCTAGGCGTAAACGCTCAACCGCAATTTGTTCTCGTCTATTGAGCGACGATGGAAACCACTGAGACACATTATTTTTGATTTTATTTAGATTGGAATTAGTTTGAGACCACTCATTTTGCCACAAACACCACACTTTATTTTTAAAATAAGCTTCTAAGTCACTAAAAACACACTTGTCTATCGGCTGTGACAAATCACTTAAAATTGCCTCTCGTGCAGTCCTGTCAGCTTCTTCATTTCTTGTTATTCCGACGTTTGAGGGAAGCCATAAAAATTGGATGCTTCTTCCATGTTCATAAGAAATAATAATATCTGGAGAATATTTAGATAAAAGAAGCTGTAGCATAGGGAGACGATGAAAAAAATCCATCAATGTTCCATTGAAGTATCGAGTTGAATGTTGTTAACAGATTCGGAGTTAGATGATACTGAACAATTGTCTACAGAAGAATCACTATCTAAGTCAGAAATCTCTTTCTCTAAATGGTTGTATAGTTTCTTTTGAAGTTTTGTAAACTTGCTTTTTGTAGATCTATCATTTGCATATTGATAGCTGCTTTGTAAAAGATGGAGTAAACCACAGATATCAGTTGTAAATTCTTTGACGACGCTAATAGTGTCGGAGGAGCCTTGGACATTATCAATCAGTAAGGACAATTGGTGGTAATTTAAAACGAATGGTGGGGTATGATTATCAATGAAATTTTCAAGAGTTTCCCGTGTAGATGGGACTTTATATGAGCGCGGTTTTTTTGGTTTAGAGGGTTTGGGTTTTGCAAACAGATTTTCTGATGAAATTACTGAGTCTGAAGGAGGCGTGACGATCTCACCAATACTGCGTTTTATGGAAGAACTTGTGTTTTCGGAATTGTTATTAGAGTTTTCATTTAGATGCTGTGGCTTTATTACATTTGGAAGTACTGGAGCAAACTCCTTGGTAGTGACAGAACTCGAGCTTGAAATTTTATTTGTAAGATTGGTTGAAATGGTTGTTTCAGAAAATTGTCTTGTTGTATCAGTTTTATTAGAATTTTCTGCAGTTGTATCTAATGAAAAAGGAGCTGATAGATTGGAGGATATTGCTTCCGAAGTTTGTGAAAACGGTATTGCTACTGAATGAGGTTGATTGAAAGTGTTGTTATGAGTAGGAGCGTTAGTAATTTCTTTGTCATGGAGATTTGTAGGTGTAGGTGATATGCTTGGATTTGATGATGGATAACTTGATGACTGCTGGGTGTTTGGTACCTTGTGTAGTATACTTGTTGAAGCTGTTTGATTTGGTACTTCATTGTTTGACTCAATATGAGTTGATTCCGTTACCGAACTGTTTTTGCATTGGGATGATATGTGCCCTGTATTATTGCAAATAAAGCAGGTGAGTGTACCTTGTGACAAAAATATGCGGTAAGGTGTTTGGTCGAAATTTATTAGAATAGAATCTGGAATTGGTGATGTTATAGGGCTTATATAAACTTGCCTCCGAAAGCTCAATATGTGACTATATTCGGGAAGAGTCGAGCTTATTTTCAGAAATGTTATTGGAGAAATAAGCTTTAAACCGATATTCTCTAATTCTTCAACTAATACTTGATGAGGAATTGACGGGCAGACTCCAGACAAGACTAGTCTTTCTGCTGGAGAGACAAGTCTTCTTGCTGTTACTACTTCGCCGAGTACTTCTATAGAGCCATATTGTGTCATGAAGTTATCTACTACGGTCTTGTTTGCCAAATACATGCAGATTCTATTATGAGATAATCTAGATGAAAAAATAATATTTTTTTGGGTTGATGATTGTGCCCAAAGGAATGAGATAATCCTGCAGTTTAGCATTATCGATACAACTAAATACAATTGCTTGGTTCTTACTCGGAAAAGAATGTGAAGCGGCTGAAGCATAACTGTTTGTGATATTCGAACGTTGATTTACTGGACTGGTTAGATCGGAAGGTGTGTTTACATTGTGTGAAGTCATTTTGAGGTGCGGTGGCGAAGGCCTTACTCCGACTCTGGTAAGTGAAAAACCAGTCGCATGCTACTATAAGCTACTTATAGCAGCTAACCTCACAAAATGATTGTATGGTAGTTTATATTTATTATTTGACTTTTTCTTTTCACAATAATAAAATAATAATTACGTATAGATGACTTACGTAGTAGTATCTAGTAGATAAACACTTTAATTTTAAAAAACTGTTTAATAAAACCACTTGTTTTTATTAAAAACTAGGAGTACGATATCAATACAACTTAACCGTACCTTGCCAGGGCTGGTCCTTCTTTGATCATTATTGTTTGAAATCCAGGTTCCTAGGTATTTGTATTTATCAACCCTTTATATCGATACATTTCCCAAATGTATGTTTGTTGGTATATTTGTTTTCTTTGTTATTATCATGTATTTGGTCTTTTTTACATCCATCTTTAATACATATTTTTCACAGAAACGGTTTTTTTTGTTTAGCAGTAATTGGAGTTGTTCAGCAGAGCTTGCCATAATCACGGTGTCATCTGCATATCTTTTCAATTCCAATCTAATACCTAATTGCAAATAAGATAATTCAGAGAAAGAAGTAAGCCAAAGCAAAAATAAATGAATGTGTAATGAATACGTCAGCTCAGATGAACTACAAATAACCTTTGTAAACTATTTTCAACTTGGGCTACGCATACTACGTGTGCGTAGTTGAGTATTTTGACTTATTTTCTTGTCTGAGTAGGTATTATTTGGTTGCCTATATCTGTGAGTTCCATAAGTTGTCCATCTACTCTGACTTCCACTTCATTGTTTGGTAGATTTTTTCAAAAGTCTTGTGCATACATATGCTTGCTCAATACATGTACATTCCAAGCACGATAAATTTGTTCGAAAAAATGTATCTTGGAATGGATAAAAAGGCACTGCTAAAACTCAGTGGTCAACTCAACTCAAGACCACGAATAACTTTTGAAATTTTTCGCGTCGGCTCAGAGAGCAAACAAAGAAAGTATTTGGAGAGAAAGGGATGGAATACGCATGAACTCTGTGATTTTGATAGATATTTTACAAGTGGTCTTTACTTCTACTAAAATATTCTT